CCCCCCCCCCCCTTCCCCTACCACTACAGTCCCTAACAAAGAGTCCCTCCCCAACATCCTTGTAGGCCCCCTTCAGACACTGGAAGGCTGCTATGAGGTCTCCACGCAGCCTTCTCTTCTCCAGGCTGAACAGCCCCAACTTTCTCAGCCTGTCTTCATTCGGGAGGTGCTCCAGTCCCCTGATCATCCTCTTGGCACTCCTCTGGACTTGCTCCAACAGCTCCATGTCCTTTTTATGTTGAGGACACCAGAACTGTGCACAATACTCCAAGTGAGGTCTCACGAGAGTGGAGTAGAGGGGCAGGATCACCTCCTTGGACCTGCTGGTCACACTGCTTTTCATGCAGCTCAGCATACAGTTGGTTTCTGGGCTGCAAGCGCACACTGCCTGCTCATGTTCAGTTTCTCATCAACCAACCCCCTCAAGTCCTTCATGTTGCATTGAAGTATTTTAGTGTTCTAGGACATATAACTGCCAGGGGGTTTTGCTGTCTACAGGAAAAAAACTCACTAAACTGAACTGAATCAGAATTGAAAAGACTTCTTTTTTTTTTTTCTCTTTACTGATAAATAGATTTTCGTAATCTGTGCAGAAAGGAAGGGTTTAGTTGAGTTCAGATCACTGCAAAATCTGATTGAAAGTCCTTGCAAGTGCTCTTAAATAATACAGTTTACCAAAACTGTGTTTAAGTTAACTTTAATCTAGTAGAGTGACCAGAGGCTCTTTGTGTTTCTTATCTCAGTATTTGACATCTGAACCTTTCCTTCAATGAAATTGTTGCAGGTCACTGTCCTGAAGATGGGGCTCAAGAAAGTACTTTGCTTTTATAAATATAGTATAATAATTTTGTAATTTGATTTTTAATACAGTTTTGATTATACAAATAATACTGTGAAATACTCACTACTGCATATTTTTGTAATAGCCATTAAACAGCTTTCCATCTTCTGGGAGAATTCTAGGCTACAAAATACAGTATTTTCTAGAAAACAATGCTGCAATTAAAATGACAAACATCTCTACTGACAAGAAGATGACTTTACTTTTAAATGAAGAGGCATATATTATATCTGTTATGGCCTATAACTCTGCTGGAAATTCTCCTGAAGCTATTTTGAGGATTCCATCCACTGACGAAAGATGTAAGATTTCTCAATCTTTTGATACATTTTTCTCATTAACAAAAAAAAAAAAAAAAAAAAAAAAAAAAAAAAAACACCTTTATAAAAGTTCTGTTATAGTGGAAGCAAAGTTGTGCTAAGGACTAAGCTGTGTAGCCCGGTACTTTTGAGTAGAAGCATATTGTCTGGTTGTCTTATTTTGCTATTGTATGTCATGCTTTTGTTATAGGTGATTATTGTTGGAGTTTCTGTTTTGCGATATAGTTGTTAAGATACCGGCACTTTCTGATATCCTATTAGAATTTCTATTTTATTACTTTATGGGAGCTTTTTTGTTTTTTGCCTTTTTGGTTTTTTTAGCCCTGGGTCTCCAAATAAACTTATAGAGTCCTACCTAGTTCTGTCTCATCCCTCTACTAGGTCATAAAATTGGTTACCACAGGGCGTTATTGCAGAGCATTTAACAACATCATTCAAAAATGTGTTTAATACATTTAATGTGTTTAATACAGTGGAAGTAGAGAAAGAAACACTCCATTAATTCTCATTTCCTGTGCATTCCGCAAGTATCCCATCCCACCTACTGCCAGGGTCTGGAAGCTGGTCTGCTCTAGCACAACAGTTGTGTTCTTTGGCTCTTACGTCTAATTCTGGTTATCTCTGTAAGCCTTGTATTGCAACATCCTTCTGCCTACCCACGATCCAAAAGAGAGGTTCTCCTACCCTTCTCACACATCAGTTGTTCATGAAATGAATGCAAGTGTTCCCCAGGAACTGCTCAGTCAAATTTCACTTCTAATCAGAAAACTGGATATGTAGATGTGAAGTCATCTTGTCATGGAGTTGGCTGGCTACATCTTTATACACTTACGTATTCCACAAGAAATGTTTTCCGGATTTCTCTGTGCTGTGACATGCCTTTTTTCCTCTAACATACATCTCTTTTCCTTCTGCTTCACCAAGTCTTCTTTGCCAGGTTGGGTTTTCACTCAGACTTTCATTACCCTGTTCTGCAGGTTGATGGTTCATTTTTGCTTCACTGTCATTCATGACCTTGCTGACTTAATTTACTGTTTTGCTATTGCCTTTGTAATCTCAATCAAAGCTTGCTTATCAGCACTACCTCTAAAATTGGTTTGTAAAACTTTACAATCTGTGAAATTCAGATCCTAGAAGAAAGACTGGTCTTTGATTCTGCATGTGTAAACCTCCTTCTGTATGTGTAAATCTCCTTGAGTATCATCTCTTCAATTTCCCCTTCCCCTTTTCATTGTAACAATTCTTACATGCTTTTTTTAAAGTATTTTGAGTACCTCACGTGAACACAGGTATAAAGTAACTTGAAAATATTTTTTTAAAAAACCCTTGACTAAGTCCCATACTCTTCTGAAGGAGTAATCTCAGATTGCTGTGAGTAATTTTCTTGCTGCAGTTTTTATGAAAATAAATAGAACTGATGACATTTTCTGTTAAACTTTTAGCTTCTCAGGTTATCGAAACAGTGAGGACCTTTACGACAAATGAAGAAGTGGTTGTGGAATGGGTAGCCTTCGAAACAGAAGTAACCAAATATGTAGTTGAGTGGTATGAGGAACTGGAAACAGATCCTTTTGGTAGATCATGGCAATATGTATCAAATTCTACAAACTGGAAAACTAACAAAAGTACGTTCAGTTATCAGTTGCAGTTGTTAATAATGTACTGATAGATATGTATTTATGTGTATTTATCTATGGGTAGACCAGAAAGAACAAGCAAGGATGAACTCATCTAACTTTCCAAAGACCATTTTAAAAAATAACAGTATCACTACACACTTTATTGAAATCTTTGCATATAATTTATGGCAATTTTAACTCTCTTAAATTTTCATGCAGTATGCAAGATGGTGTTTTCAAAGTTTTCAGAAAATAAGCACCCTGCATTTTCTAAAGTGAAAAGGAACACTTGGTTCATTAGTGATGAGTGTAATTAGCTTGCCCATGAAATTCGTCTTACAGGCTTAGACAACAGTGATTTAAATACTGTTTCTATGCTACAGTAAAACAAATCAGACAAAAATTCACTTGAAGTAGAATTCAAGAACAGTTAATTACACATTGAACAGAGATGGGCGAGTCGAGTCATATGCTGAAAATTGTGCAGTTCAGCAATTTACTCTGAGGAGTAAAGGCTGTTTATAGCTGCTCTCAATACATAAAACCTGCAACTTTCCTCCTCAGTGTTATTAGACCTTTGCTTACCCTAAGCACAAGTCACATTAGAAATTTCAAGACAAATTCACACTTACTCTTAATGAGGCCTATTTCTGGCATTCTTTTGTAGAATTTTTTAAACCATGATATGTGGACCATCATAGCTCCTGCTGGGCAGTAATAGGTGTCAGGAACTGAAAAAGCAGCAGAGAACTGATAAAATACAGGCATCTGTTGATAGCTATATTCTCACTGAACAAGCTGCAGAGCTTGAGGACAAACAGTTTAGGAAACCCTTTACACTAGATTTCATCCCATGGAGTATAAAGCTACAGCTGTATTCTGTCAGAGCTGATCAGAGTTTCTTGTAAGTAGGGTTTCACCCTGTTGGTTACTTGGCTGCTGGATCGTTCAGAGTTCAAAACTTCATTTCCAGAAGGTCAAACTGTGTCTTGAAACGTATAAAATTATACAGCAGACATTTATCTTGTACAATTGTACCTTTGAGTCAAGCTGCTTAGAGGCAGATCTGCAGCTGGCATAACTGGAACATCAGCGTAGAGTTAAGAGCTGGGGCTCCATTGTGCCTTTTAAGCTGTTTGATGCATGAGACAAAACTTGCTTGTGCAGAGCAGTTAACTTAAAGATATGTGAAATTAAAAATACTTCTGGAAGTATCATTTTGTACTTATTATTTGAAAATAAAAACCATCCAAAACCTTAGACTGTTATGAGATTAGTAAGTTGCTTCCTGTAGAGAAGCTGAATAACACTGAAGTATAATTACTCATTCAAATTTCTAATTGAAAAACGAGTCAGAAACCAAGTGCTGTTATGAATACTACTAAATGAAATTCATTGTGTTAAGGACAGTAATGAGCATTTGAGGCAATAAATATGTATCATGCTTGCTAAAATGTTGAAGGAAAATAGAAGTCTGTAACAGTGTATTTAGAACCGCGCTGTAATTTACTCCATTCATTGTGTTAATCTTACATAGAGAATTGTATTTCAACACTTCTTCTTTTCCTTTACAGAAAACTTTAAACCATTTGTATGCTACAACATCTCAGTGTATCCTCTCTATGGAAATAAAGTAGCAGCTCCATATTCCATACAAACTTACATTCAAGAGAAAAGTACGTATTTTAAACTAGTAACGTTGTGAAATGTGTGTTGTAGTCTGTCTCTCAGGGTGTATTGTCTTTGAGTAACTTGAAACTGGTATTACCGAAGGAGAGACACAGATACTGAAAACCCCCCAGGATTCAGGCTTCCTTATTTCTGTTCATAGATCAGCTACTGAATTGTTCAGTAAAACACATGTATATCTTGTGATACACACTGCCGCTTGAATCCACTAATTTCTTGTAAAGTTTGTGTACTGTATACAAAGCACTTGAAAAGAATATAGCCACAGACATTTTAAAGTGGCTATCTCTTAAATATGACAGTTTATTTAAGTATAAAATTAGACTTGATTTTAATGCTTGGCTCCATTTATCAGTTCTAACGTATGAGGAAGTTTTCTACTCATGTTAAAAATGATGTTTTGAAAAACTTTCTTTTTTAGAAAAAATTTATAATGTAACAAAACATTTACAGTCCTGCACATAAAACTTGACAAAAAGCCATGATATTTGCAGTTTGGGTAGAAACCGTGAATGATACTCTGTGTATGGGGAAGGTTTCTTTATTCATAAAATTTCATGTGAATTCGGTGATTCATACAGCCAACTGTAAGAATGTAGTTTTAAGATTTAAGGTGAAAATGTACATTTCTTTGTATATGCATATATAGGTCTATGTAAGTGCGCATGCACACATAATACAAAGCACCACTAAACAGCATTAATTACAAGGAGGAGGTGATAGAGTATTGTATGTTTGAGTAATACTTACTAGCACAATCAGAACTTTCTTTCAAGTGCTTTCCTGTTTCTAGAGAGGTGTGACAATACTAAAGGTTGTCAGAGAATGGGAAGGAACATATTTGTTTTAAAACTGAAGCACTGAGAGCTCTTGCTTTGAAGTGTTATGTACAGTAACTTCTGTCCTGGGTTCAGGACAAGCAATGCATGTGAAGTTGTACTGTGTAAGTAGACTTTGTCTAATGTAATGGGAAAAGACTGGGGGGTACTGAAGGCCCCAGCTGAATCTCAGCTCAGCCAGAAACATTCTGCATACATGGTGACCTTGCACCTGAGTTCCCCCTGAGTGCATAAGGATGTTTTACCTCGTGATCAATCGGTGATGTAAGGATAGAGCCTTTTAATGATCTCAAGGTATACAGATGCAGTAACACTGAGAACTATGTAAATGCTAGGATAGATGAAAGGAAGTATTATCAGGAAAAAATCACACATTAAAGGGGGTGAAAAAGTTAAGGGCTGTATCAGACCGTGAAGATGACACATTTACTTATACGTGTCTTGCTGCTAATTTTACTGGTATGTGTGAGGTAACACGGATGGGTAACACTGGTACTTAGACTATTCTACTACCTTTTTTTTAACTCTATAATGCTTCTGTGTAGAGCCATCAGAAGGACCTGTGGCTGACACAGGCATTCCAGGGAAAAATGAAGTTACAATAAAATGGAAGGAGATTTCAAAGGATAAAAGAAATGGGTTTATCAGTAACTATACAATATTTTATAAACCTGAAGGTGGAAAAGAATTGAGTAAGTATATGTTAAACAGCAATTCTTTCAACAGGGCTATGACAATCTGCTGTCTGAAGATAGCTATTTCCATAGTTATTAGCACACTTTCTTATTGTATGTTATAAATATGTCTGTAAATACTAGTATTAAAATGTGGCTTACATAAAGGCTTTTTTTTTTTTTTTTTAAGGTTTAGTTGTAATGAATATTCTAGTGCATAGTCCCAGCTTTAATACTGCCTACACATGTTGTGTTCTTGCTCAGTTTCTTTGTTCTGAATTTATTTTGCACAGCACTGCTTGCTCTCTATCTTTCTTACTGTTAGTGTTGTACTGTCCATGGTACTATGGCCATGACTGTTGGCCACATTGTCCTTTCTGCTGCTCAGATTCAAATCTGATAGATGTCCATGCGATAAATTAGTCAGTGTATGGCAACAGTATCATTCCTCCATTTCCAGAGCAGGATGGAAAATGAGAGGCTTTTTGCAGATTATCTGTTAATAGTTTAAAAAAAAAATAAATCAAATTTTCAGGAGTATGCCAAATTGGAGAGTATTATTTGTCAGATACTTGCTGTTTTTACCTTTTGCTTAAGTACTAGTCTCCCTCCATCTTCAGATCTCTCTTCCATCATGACACACCTCTGAAGCTAATGGAAAAACTAATGACAGAAGTAGAGGAGCAAAATGGAGCTAAAATACATTGGGGAGTTATAGATCCTGTGCAGATTCATGAATTTGAACCTCGTAAGGGTTCAGTGAATTTATAAGTTCCATGAATGTCCTTGGAAGGATGTCTTTCTCAAGCTCACAGTTTCTGGAAGAGTATGGTGGAAATTTTCTAGTAACAGTGTTTTTTACAGTCAGTTTTATAATAAAAGCAAAACAGCAAATGATAGTCAAGAAGCTAAAATATGCTGCCAAGAAATAGTTTCTTTGGACACAGTTTTTAGATTAATGTTTTCAAATGTGCTTGATTTTCTATGCTTGATATTGCTTTTCTACTCTGGAAGCTGATAGCATAACTTTTTGAGCATATTCTTAATCTCTGACCTCAGGCATAGTATCCATGCAAGGTGTCAGTATATTCCTATCTATTCAGAAATTCTCTAGCCTAAATCTCATCAGAATCTTTTATGACAGACGTTTGGTGGCCTAAATTTGTTCTTCCTGTATAGTTTATGAAGAATGCTGTTGGATCATTCAGTGCTTCAGAAATGGTTCATTTTCCTCCTCTGTCTTAGATGTCACTGTTAGCAGACACCTAACATATTTTTTTTTTTTTTTTAAAAAGATTTAAAACTTACAAGTGTTCTGATGTCTTCAGTTGCTTCTGGATTCCCAGTTTGGAGCCAGTGCAATTTACCAAATTCTTGGTAAATTTTAAATTAGGAAGAGGAAGCTCATTATTTGTCAGATTCAGTCCTCTACATGCAACTTTTCCTACCATTGTTGGCTTCTGAGTAATTTAATGTTTACTGCTCTGTTAAGGATCATCCTTAAGACATGCAGCCTCATGTTATGAAGCCATGTATATCTGTATTACTTCTGCTTAGTAAAGCAGACTGTGCCCATTTTAGGGGTACAGATTAGTTCCTTTAGGAATTTAGTTTTAAATAGCGACTCAAGGGGCTTAAATTTAAATGGTAAAACCTTACTGCACTGGTGTTTTTTGAGGTCTCTCTGATGTCTTTTTGGCATCTTTTTGATAGAATAGAACTTCAGTGACTTATATTTCATAAAAGGAACATGCGTTTAATACTGTTTGTACACATAGAATGTTATGATACATGCCCTGATTAAAAGAATTGAAAAGTGAAGCACATCATGCTAATTCCAGTAATGCGGAAGGTATTGAAAGTGTTGAGTTCTATTCAGAAAAGCTTTTGAAACTTGGAAAAAGATTCCTGTTGATTTTGGTTTTCCTCTGACATTTTTGGGGTGATAACCCAGTGCTGATAGATTGCATTCTTTTGGATGATCAGTGTCTGAATACATATCCTAGAAATGCAGTTAAATTTAATGAGCTGCAGAAACTATTTTAAGTTTTTAATTTCTGAGCTTAGGTTCCAGGAAATAAAGATCTCAAAGCACTGTTTTTAATGAGAAAATAAACTACAGGAAACCACACTTTGCCTATCTTTAATATCAGCAAAAAATGTGTATTTACTTTTAAAAATAAATACATATGGTTTATTATTTTTTCTCAAAACTTTTAGGTAGCTTTGATAAGCATTGTTTAGCAATTTTTGTCTCTCAAAGGACTGATAAGGTTGCTTTCTATTTCAAGTTGTCTTTAAAATACTCTCTATCATTGTAAAAGATGCTAAATAAGCGTATGGTTCCCTGCTACAATACTGTTTTTTGTGTTTTTTGACATAAATCTTCCCCTAAAAAGATGACACAGTGAACGCTGATGTTCTGCAATACAGACTGAAGTCCTTACAGCCTAATACACAATATACTGTCTATATCATGGCAAGCAATGAAGCTGGTGGAACCAGTGGGGAGCCAAAAACCTTCAAGACTTTGAAATTCAGTAAGTAATATTCCTGGTTAGTTACTACTATTTTAAAAACAGGTTTGGGAGTAGGAAATACAGAACATTTTTGTTTAGGCATTTGTTAATTTCTTTTTCTTTTTTATTTATTTTATTACTGTTTAGCAAAACAAGGAAGAATTACCAACAGTAGCTGAATTTAACTCAGTTTCACTGATATCTCACAGAATAAAACCTCAAGACTAGAAATCAAACCACAAAATCTTGTTTTCAGTAAAGCTGTGAAATACTATGGATGTTTGTGGGAGCTGTCATGCTGTCAGTTATGTGACGGCATGCCTAACAGTTTATTAAAAAGCAGACATTTCCATTTGAGATACTAGATTTAGAATAGCCGGGCATTGCTTTTCATTTCTTCTGCTATAGAAGCTTAAGTAGTAAGGCCACAGCTTGTGGCTATTGGGTGTGGGGAGATAATCTCTTAATTGTTCTAGCCAGATTTTACCATGGAGGTCAGTATGACTGCTGTGGGTTAGAAGTTCAGACAGTTCCTCGCTTCTCCTGGAAGAATTCTTTCAATACCTACATAAATTTTCATGGTGGTGGCCAAACTGAAACGTAAAAAAGAGCACGAACTACCTTTAAACTTGCTATGGGACTCAAAGCTGATTTATTTTTTGTCTGTAAAGTCATCTGCTAGTTTCCTGGTCAAATGCAAAGTAAGGTAGAGTATGCTGAGGTCTGGTCTTCATTGCTGCTGTCAGTATCTACCTCTAGTGGGTACTTGGAAGCCAGCTTAGAAATTTGTGCACTGTTTTTTGTGTATTTAAAACCTATCATCTACTGCATTGGATTTACTATTTATTTTGTCGTAATGGGTAGGAGTGGCACTATATGGCAGTTTAAGGTGATTCTAAAACAACAGGTACCCAGAGAGGTGTATGCTCTTCATTCTAGGTGACTTTCAAAGTTTTGCTTAGTATGACCCTAAGCAACCTGATTCTGATTTCAAAGTTGGATGAGGGGACCGACAGATATCCCCTCCAATCTGAATTATTGTGTGATTCTGTTAAATGAAGGGAATTTTAAAATTCAAGATATCTGTTCCTGAGATATCCTGGGAAGTCTCATTATGAGCTGCTTTTCTGGTTCAGTAGCTGTGACAGGTTGGATTAAAAATATCTTTTGACACATCGTGCACTGAGTACCGTACAGTATTCTGAATAACTTTGGCTAGTTTCGATGTGGCATTTTAGAACTGTGTAATTAGATGTCTTGGATGTTGAACACTAGCTGTCTTAAGGCAATACTTGAAGAAATTATAAACATCTGTGGTGTTGTTTTTTTTTTTTTTCCCTCTGCTTTATAGATAAGGAAGACGTTATTTTCATTGCTCTGCCTGTTGGACTAAGCATGTTGGTTCTGTTAGGCCTTTGGATAGCATGCATTTTGAAAAAACATGCGTGAGTACATTTTCTACCTTCTAAAACTGAATGCAGTCAGTTAATTTTAACTTGTAAAAGGGAAATTTTTATCTCTCTTATAAATGCTCTTGTTGGGTTCCAAACCAATGTCAAATTAAGAAAGCAAACAATTGGAGTAACAAATAAATAAGCATACAGGTTATCTTGTAACTGCAGTTAATGTGTTGTACTCCAAAAATAAATATCAATTTTAGAAAGTGCAGTAAATCAGAAAAAAAGAAGTAGGAGAAGCAGATTTATGTATCACCTGTATCAATTTGTGGAAAATGCTATATGCCATTTGCAGTTCCATTGTCAATCAGGTGAGGGGAGCATACTTTAAACCAGTTAGTGAAGAGTTAATAACACCAAAATAGGGTTTTCCAGGAGGTCATAATACTACATCTACTAGTACACCAGTAGAACACGTCACATAACCTCTGTTGCTTATCTTAGCTACATTAATATTACTTTTGTTAGTTTTGTTACTGAACTGTAAAGAAGTCATGAAGAAACTAGAAATTACATCACCTGAAATCAAACATTTGAATGCTTGATACACTGCTATGGATCCCTATCTATACATGATTCATAATCCTTTAATATACTATAACGGGTGTCCCATGCCAGATTTTAAATTGCTTCCTAAGAGCATGGGGTGCTATAACAGGATTTGTTAACATTGTAAGATGTGCTTTTCTTTAGCATGAAAAGTAACTGAGTTGTTTGGATGAAGCTTAATAAGAAGGTTAAAAATCTAAACTATTTTGGGGTGTTCTAAGATACTGGAACCATGGACTGTGGCCATGCAAAACATCAGGTAATAAGCATAGCTGAAATAGTAAGCATAACTTCCAGCTCTTTTACATATTCAACTGTGTTGTGTATTCTGAATTTTTACAGTAGTAAGAAACTATGTTTTGATTCTGGAGAATAATTTGAGATGTAGCTGAGTGTTTATATTCTTGTGTATGTGTATATTTACTGGTTCTCATTCACTTACACATACAGCCAGAGTCAACGAGTGATTAATTTCTTTCCTGTTTACTACTCCATCAAACAACTATAAGCTACAGTGTCAGTGTCATTTATCTGCTGTTAACATAAGAACTCAGAGTAGCTCTAATATGGTGTAATGCTGGGGACACTTTCCTAGAGCAAAGCTGACCTGAATTGCCTTTTCACTAAAGAACTATGCTGAAATGTAATCACAACAGGTTTTGTATACAGCCTTGTTTTGGCATGGTAATATTTGATCTACTATATAATAAAATAAAATTACCTTTGTGCATTAGTAGTTTTTGTGCCATGTCTCTGTGACCCAAAAGTTTTACTTGCTAATATCTTTTGTAATAGAAACTAATATGAGGGAAAACTCTTACAGTGAAAAAGAAAAGATTGTGTTAATATAGGGAAGACTTCCTTTGTGAAAGTTTGACATTTTAGTAGTGTCTGGGATTTCTGGAGATTTGTTAGTTTTATTTTTAATAATCAATTTCTTTCGTCATTTGATTAATCTTTGTTTCTCAATGATAGGTTTAAAAAGGCTTGCTGGCCTGATATACCCAATCCTGCAGAGAGCATTGCAGTGGAATGGCCTCTTGATGCATCTATGGTAATTATTGCAATTTCATGTATTAAAAAGGGTTCAAGTGGAGAGAAGTCCTTCTTTGACTTTTTATGACTAAAAAAAATCCTGTTGAGTTTCATTCTTCTAAGTATGAAATGCTCTTAACTGAATTTCAAATAGAACAGATGCCTCTTTATAAAGTAAATTCACATAATTCTTACATGACAATGAGAAATAATATTTTGAAGTTATGAAGTGATCAGTGGACATGATTTAATAAATAAGTCAATTAAATTTGCTCAGGTTATTGAGTCTACCTAGTCAGATTCCCACACCAGGGTACCTCCTCCCTTTTCCACAAAAAATACAGGGTAATATGATAAGATTTGGTATATTACAGTACAAACATTTCTGTCTTATTTATTGTTGGATATTTATTCCTAAATTAAGTTTTGATGTTTATTTGAATGAAGTTGATGAGGTCTACATAGAAAGTGTAATCTATGGAGAATGGGCTTTAAACTTCTGTTTTAAAAATAGATGGTTAGACTGGAAAAGACAGAAACAGCCCAAGCCTACTTCTGAGCCTTCATTTGAAACTCCTTATTTTATTGAGCACAGAAAACGTAATATGAAAGTGTTTAGTGAATGGACAGGATAACATTGTCATTTTTAGGACTTATTCACAAATAACTACATCCCAGCTGAAATGCACATGAACTCTTTTATTAATGCACTTTCAAAATTGAGTCAAGCAGAGCTCAAATGGCAATATTTTATGTACTAAAAAACCAAACTAATACATGATCTGCCCTTATATAACTTTCCAATTTATCTCTTTGTCCTGACAGAATAATTCATTTTTGAAGGGAGTAACAACTGAGGCTAAAACCATAGACTTTGAAGACGTAAGTGTTTTGGAACATTGTTTTCCTGAAGACAGTCAGGAAGGATCGCTACTAATGAACTGTGAAAACCGTGTTTCTACATGTACTGATACTAATACAAAAGGCATGATTAATAGAGATAAAAAGATACTGTATAATAAAGAAAATGAAGTTGCTAAATGTTTTTCACCATCCATGCCTTATATAATTACTGATGAAGATACCAGAAGTCAAATGCATTCAGCCTTAATACCAGTGAAGGAAATCCAATGCATAGAAATGATGGAAGATGGTGTATGTGGATCTCAACACGCTTCAATTAAAAATGGGGAAAATGATCATGAAGTTTTAAAGCTGGAAGATCTCAGTGTAAAAGCGCTGTTCAATCCATACCTTAAAAATTCTGTTAAAACAAGAGAATTTATTATTTCAGACAACTTGCCAGAACACAGTAAGAGTGAACCCAAAAGCCAGTCCACTGTCTTACCTCCTTTTCACCAAAATGTTGCAGGACAGTCCTATGTAACACTGGACATGTTTGGGCTGGCCACAGCTCATTAGCATGAGGAAACTTTCCTTTGTAAATTCCTCTTGTGAGATGCATTTGGCACTGCTGCTCGTGTGTGTTTGTATATGCTAACCTGGCTGGCCTCAGTTAATTTGGATGAAAACAACCCCTTCCCTTGGACAGCTGTGGAGTAATTTTTGCCTTGTGTTTATACCCATGAAGCTTCACTTTTTGGTGTGGGGAGGGTTTGGTTTGGTTGGTTGGTTGTTTTCTACCAGATAACTGTGCCAGTTGAGAGGCAAAGGAAGTACCTTTTCTTATTTCTTCTTAGTTCTCCCATATGACTTTGCTAAAACAAACTCATCTTTACTGTGGGAGCATCTGGCAGTTGCAAGCAGCTCACTGGTTTCCAGTTCCCATGGCTGAGCTCTGCTGGGGAGATGTGGACTGACTTGAACAAGTAACTTACTTAAGTTACACAGAGTAGAACTACTTTCCTGTTCTTATTTCCCTCAATTATTCTATATTTTGTTGCATGGTAGATTTTAGTAATTGCCTTTATGCATCGTGATACGTGAATTGGTGGTTTGGCTCATACCTTCTCTCTCTTTAATGACAGGATATTTGTTATGTATACGCTGTTGATGTATCTGCATTTTGGAAGAGGTAGTGTTATGCTGGCTTTGTTTTTTCCTTCCCTTTCTCTTGTGTTGCATTTTGTGCTGCTTTTGTCTCTCCTGTTTTTTCCTGCCTTTTAAAACTCTGTTTACTGCAGCGTACCTTCTTATCTTTTTGTCCCTTTGTCTCTTATTTCTCCCAGATAAAAACTGTTTCACAGTTGAGGTTTTGATATTTTGAATTGAAAAAATTCAGCTAAATACAGCATCTTGTGCTGGAATAAGCACTGAGTTCATACTTAGGAAATTATTTTTCTGGGAGGTATTGAAGAAACACTATGTCTACAAAATATCCCCAGATAGATAACCTCTGATTTAGGATTAGAGACTTCTACACGAAGCTATAATTCTGTCGTTTGTTTCATGATTTTGATAAGTCATAATTCTGCTTGAAGTTTCCACTCTATACAGCAGCAATTAAGCAGGAAACTCTCCATCACACTAATTACTTTTATTTTTTCAGCAGAAAAAAGAGGCTATTGCTGTAAAAGTCTTACCAAAATATTTACTGTGTTAAATGACAGGTTTAAAAAAAAAAAGAGCTGAAGAGTCAACTCTAGGTAAAATGTGGTAAAAGAGGGGGGTGGGGTGTTGAGTATGACAGGTGACATACAGCCGTTTTAAGACTTCATTTTCACAGTATTTAAAGGCTTGATGTAACCAGTCTTATTTGCACATAACATCACTTCTTTAGGGGTGAAAAAGATACAGGAGTCATGGGGATAGAAAGAGGAAAGACAAATGTGAATAGGAATAGAAAGCCTTTCCTTTCTGCACAGGGAAAAGAGTGGGAAAATGGAAAAACACATTGTCCAGCACGATTGGGGAGGCTGAGCCTTACCCTGGATGAATTGGCTATTACTTGCATTGTGTTGGGAAAGACAGGGTAAAGTTTGCATTTAGGCGTTTCATGTATAGTTTGGAAGCTGATTTTACATGTATCAATGTTTCCCATCCAAGGAAGGATGGGAAAATAATAACTGCAAATGCTCCTTGTACAGCAACACTGATTTCCACTCCTTATGCCTCAAGTTTGTTGGATCACTTCCCCAACCACAGTGCTATAAGCCAAAATGTATGTACATAAGCTTGTTCCTAAAAGCCCTTGCTTACTTGGATAAGTCGTGCTCTGAAAAGCATGTGGGACACAGCTTTGGTTGGGTCAATGCTGCTGCTGTTACACTCACTTCCAGACTTCTCATTCACAGCTACACTGCCATTTCCTAGGGTTCAGAAGTCACTAACTCAGTCACAGCAGGTTTTTCTCCTCAAATATCAGCATTTGTTTTAATATAGCAAGATTTAAAAATAAACAGATACAGAGATATTTTGAGGCCTGTGTAGGAATTGTATAGCAGCCATATGAAAGCTGCATACTCTAAGTTGCACGATTGAGTCAGGTAAAACATAATGCAACCTTTAATGGAATCCTTTGAAAGGAGAGGTTCTTGCTGGGTGGTTACAGGGATATTAGGGTTTCCCTGTAACATCTCTTAGCTTCTGGAGAGTGAGTAGTAAACTCCTTTTCCATCCCACTTTATTTACTTCTCTTTTGCAGTTCTGCATTTCTCTCCTCACTTCTCATTTCCTTGCTTGTTATTTTCTCTGAAAAAGAGTAATGCAGTAAAATGGTCTTGGTTTATCTTGGAAATGAGGGCTGCCTTTTGCCTGTACTCTGGAACGCCAGCTTCTTGGACTTGGTTTGTTTTGCATTCAGTTGTATTCTTTCTGACCTTTTACAATTTGTCTTTCAAATGAATGCTGTGAACCATGAAAAAATAAAACTGAGAATACATGGAAAAGTTTTTATCCATTTGTACTAAATGCACCATTTAGACATTTTAGGTTTTCATATTTGTTTAGAATGTGATCATTTTTTGAGAGGGATCCACAAAGAAATGGGGTATTTGAGCACAGACTATTTTATGATGTCAACTCACAATGGCAGGTTGGATATTACAATACTTTTTGATACTGTTTATAATAGAACACCTGGTGTCATTATTCCCAGAGAGTAATCTTCCCAGATTTCATTTCATTTACCACGACTGACCTGAAAAACACCCATTTCTATCCTTCGTTCAAATGCAGAAAATTAATGTCTCGGGTGTGTGGGTCTTTGTAAGGTTAACAGAGATCAGTTGTGGCATATTTTCAAGATGATGTTGATGCATCTTCACAGTTGTTGTTCTCTATGTGTGATACAAATTACTCATTTCTGATGTTAAGGCTTATGCCTTGCAAAGTATTCATAGATCATGTTTTTCACATTTTTAGCTAAATTACATGTTCAGTCTTTGTTTCCTGAGCTTACTTTTAACTCCCCAGAATTTTGAATTCTTTGAACAGGAATCCCACAATTCTTTGATATAACAGAGTAAACTGGCAGATTTTCCAAACTGCATAGCCTATGATATTTCTGTGTTCCTCATGTCTTTTACAATTGCCCAAATAGGGAGAAAAAGACATATTAATTGCTAATGCAGTGAAGAGAAGGAAGCTTTCTTCCTCCAGTTAGTACTTGCTTGTCCAGTGGATGCTCCTCCAGAGATGATGTGACTGCTGCTGAACAGCAGCTGTAGGTGGACTGGCAGGGGTCTGGCCTAGGTGGTGCTATTTAGTGTTTATCTTAACAGAACGGATAACATATTGTCCTCTCCCATTCCTGAAAGAGTGATTTGTTATAAATAGATCTTTCTTTTTGAGATAGTTGATGACTTTCAAGATAGATGTTTCAACTTCTGTTCATGAGTGAGAACTTACTCAGAAGAGTTTTATCGCTAGTCCAAATTTGGTATCTCGTGTAGCAGAGGTAAATGTTTGCGTGCAGCAGAGCCCTAATCTGAGCCTAGAGTGTGTGTGTGACTCGTATTGTTGCTTAGCAAACGGGTTCATGTCACCTTTGCCTTCATTTCAATACACCTGCTACAATTCCTTTTTCACCTTGATGCCACGGGCTTTGTGTTTGTATGTTGCGTTGAGATTTAACATTGCAATATGGGCAAAGGAGTCCAGGAAGGCTGAACGTTCTACAAGAAGTAGGTCATCAAGGTGCAGGAGCAGCCTGTCAACATGCCCTGAAAGACAAGCTGGTGGAGAAGACCAGCCTGGCTGAACAGAGAACTTTGGCTGGGAATTGGTACAAAAAGAGAGATTATAACCTTTGGAAGAAGGAACAGGCATCTCCAAAGGACTACAAGGATGTTGTGAGGTTATGCAGGGAGAAAACTAGAAAGGCCAAAGTTCAACTAAAACTGAAACTGGCTGCTGCTGAAAAAGACAATAAAAATTGTTTCTATAGATACATTACCAACAAAAGGAGGGCTGAGGAGAATCTCCGTCCTTTACCAGACGCAGGGGGAAACAGTGACAAAGAATG